ATACTAAAGATGGCAGGTACTCAGTTTAGGGGCACCTGGGTGGCTCAGTCGTTAAGCATCTGTCTTCAGCTCAGGTCATGATCAGCTTCAAAACTCATGCTCTTTCCTCTGAGATATGCATTTAAAAAGCAATCCTTAGCAGCTTTTTCTGCCCACGGGTCCTGTCCCCATGCTTTAACAAAACCACCTTTTGCACCAAAAAAAGAAAAAAAGAAACCTCATCCTTTAGAGCTTACAATCTGATTGTGGTAAGACCTACCAAAAAAGGAACGGTTAAATCATAGTAAAAGATAGAGTAAAAGAAATGCCACAATATTAGTTGAATTTGCTCTGACTGATGGAAGGAGTGACCTGGGTTTAAGTACCTGCTGTGTCACTAACAAGTTTTGTGATGAGTTATATAACTTTTCTGAGCCCAGATTTTTGCACTTGTTAAATAAGGATAGTCTTGGTTATAAAGACAAAATGAAACAATAAATACAAAATTCCTGACACACAGAGACACTGGATGAAATACGATTTTTGTAAGCAGCTGGCTAGAAAACAAATGGGTCACCTCTCTGTGTTGTTTACACTTTAGCTTTCCTTTCTTTGGCTCTTGGGACAGCTAAGGTCTCTAGAGGCCCAAGCAAAGATCACTTAAAGGAATTAGTCTCAAAAAAGTTGTCTAGAAAGTACTGTTGCCTGAGGGTTAAACCATTTTTAGGAAGCTTCTCCTTGATTTTTTTTTCTTCCCAATACAACCTACTCCAAGCTCTCCAAGAAAAGTAAGGCCAAGGAGAGAAATAGAGAATTGGAAAAGAAAAGAAAAGATCAGGCTACTGAACATCTGAAGCACCCACAGAGTCCTTTCATGGACTTTAACCACATGACTGTCTGAGGGTATAAACTGTACCCAAAATTTTACAAAATCAATTCTTCCTTGCTTAAGTAAAGTCCCCCCCCCCCCCCCACTTTAGAAACTCTTCATCGAAAGGCAGTGATAAAAGCATGAGGTTTGAAGTTAGAAAGCCTGGGTTTTGATCCTTATTCTGGTACTTTAACAGCTTTGTGATTTAGAAACTTTTTTCTGAGTTTGTTTCCTCATTTGTAAAATGGGGATGGTACCAGCTACTTCACTGAGTTATTTTGTAGGATAAATGACGTAATATTTGTACAGTATTCGATACATAGTAGACACCGAATGAATATTCAGTCCTTTCCCTTCCAAACATGGAAGATGAGCCCTCTTGAGAAGACTTCAAGTTGCCTCTTTGTGTTTTGCTTTCTAGGCTAAACTCCCCTGATTCTTTTATCTTTTTAAGGCTGTTTTATTTAAATCATCCTTCCGGAACTTCTCTAAAAATGCTTTAATATTCTTTTAAAAATTGTGAGATAAACTGGACAAAGGGATTCTAATTAAGATATGATTAGTGCAAAATATAACAGAAAGATCCATGTTATAGAAAGGCCTTAAATTTACAGGGTGCATTACATTGCATAAAAACCTTTCTCCTGGGTTCGGTTTTTGCAGCTCTCCTTCCTGTAGGAGTACAACAGATTATTAACAGGCTTTGAGTCTTATCTTGCACTGGCCAAGTAAAGTTTCTGGAAAGTGCTATAAAATATAGCTGAATGGCCTAACTAGATGGTAGCAATTAGGACACACAGAGAGACATTCAAAATGAAGCATGTAATTTGTCCCACATTTTTAGAAGCTCTTTGGTGATGTTTTCAGATCACAAATGTGGCATCTTTGTTCCTAGGATTTTTGAGGATTGAGTACCCATTTTTTCAGCCTGGAAACTCAAGAAGAGATGTATTCAGGGGCGCCTGGGTGGCTCAGTCGTTAAGCGTCTGCCTTCGGCTCAGGTCATGATCCCAGCGTCCTGGGATCGAGCCCCGCATCGGGCTCCTTGCTCAGCGTGAGGCCTCTTCTCTCTCTCCCATTCCCCCTGCTTGTGTTCCCTCTCTCGCGGTCTCTCTCTCTCTGTCAAATAAATAAATAAAATCTTAAAAAAAAAAAAAAAAGTAGTATTCAGAGATGGTAGGCTCAAAACTAGTGACTAGAAAAAGCTAATATTAGCAGTTAAGTGGGAGGGCAGAATAGAGGTCAGGATATACCACCAGTAAAACAGCAAACAAATAGGGTGTTGAATGAAGCATTTAGTCTGTTAATTTTAAAGTCAAATTTGTTCTCTTTCAAGCAATGAAACATAGGAGTGTGAAGAGCACTGTCATCTACAGTTCTTCTCATAGGAGTAAAGGTTTAGTTAAGAATATTTACAATATGGGGGGGGGGGGCGCCTGGGTGGCTCGGTCAGTTGGATGTCTGCCTTCAGCTCGGGTCATGGTCTCGGGGTCCTGGGCTCGAGCCCCACGGCAGGCTCCCCCGGAGGGGTCTGCTTGTCCTTCTCTCCCTGCCCCCACTCCTGTTTTCTCTCTGCCTCTCTCTCTCTCAAATAAATAAAAAATTTAAAAAAAAGAATATTTACAATATGGGGTGGGACACTGGGTGGCTCAGTCGTTAAGTGTCTGCCTTTGGCTCAGGTCATGATCCCAGGGTCCTGGAATCGAGCCCTGCCCCTTACTCAGTGGGGAGTCTGCTTCACCCTTTCCCTCTGCTGCTCTCTGTCTCTCTCTGTCAACAGTTTTAATTGTCAGAAAGCAAGGGAGTATGTGCTTTTGGGCATAAACAGGTCAGCTCACCATATTCTGTAACATCTGAAATTAGGCTTTTTAATAAGCAGAAGCCTTCAGTTTGAAATTCTGAACTCTTATGAAGTCTGTCAGAATCAAAGTGACTTTCCTTCATCTGTATACTTCACAGCTGGACTTAATCTAAACAGTTTTTGGGTTTTTTTAAAAGATTTTATTTATTTGACAGAGAGAGAGATCACAAGCAGGCAGACAGGCAGGCAGGCAGAGGGAGAGGGAGAAGCAGACTCCCCACCGAGCAGGGAGCCAGATGCGGGGCTCGATCCCAGGACCCTGGGATCATGACCTGAGCCGAAGGCAGACGCTCAACCGACTGAGCCACCCAGGCGCCCCTAAACAGTTACTTTTAAAAACTGTTAAAGGTATGGGTTTACACACTGTGTTTGAAGTAGTATATCTTTTTTTTAATATTTTATTTTTAAGTAATCTCCACACCCAACATGGGTCTCGAACTCACATCCCCGAAATCAAGAGTCGCATGCTCTACCAACTGAGCCAGCCAGGTGCCCCTGAAATAATACATCTTTATACCTTAAACCAGTGGCTTTCAAAGTGTGGTTCCTAGATCAGCAATATCAGCATCACCTGGTAACTTGCTAGAAATGCAGATTCCTAACACAAATCCCAGACTGGGGTTGGGGCCCAGTTGAACAAGCCCTCCAGGTGATTCTGATGCATACTGAAGTTTGAGAACCCTTACCTTAATATTATAGAAGGCAGAGGGGTGCCTGGTCAGCTCAGTCAGTTGGGCGTCCAACTCTTGCTTACAGTTCAGGTCATGATCTCATGGTTGTGAGATCAAGCCCTGCCTTGTGTTCCCCGATTAGCCAGGAGTCTGCTTGAGATTCTTTCCTTTTCCCTCTGCACCCCTCCTTCCTATGCTAGGACACACTCTCTCTCTCTCTCAAATAAAATCTTTTAAAAAATTATAGAAGAGGGGCGCCTGAGTGGCTCAGTCGTTGAGCGTCTGCCTTCGGCTCAGGTCATGATCCCAGGCTCCTGGGATCAAGCCCCGCATCGGGCTCCCTGCTCAGCCAGGAAGCCTGCTTCTCCCTCTCCCCCTCCCCCTGCTTGTGTTCCTGCTCTCGCTGTCTCTCTCTCTGTCAAATAAATAAATCTTTAAAAAAAAAAATCATAGAAGAAAAAATTACAGAAGATAGAAACATAGTATGGGGATAATATATAAGGAGAACATTCTGCATTTTTGTTTTTAAGATTTTATTTATTTATTTGACAGAGACACAGCGAGAGGGAACACAAGCAGGGGCAGTGGGAGAGGGAGAAGCAGGCTTCCCGCGGAGCAGAGAGCCCGATGCGGGGCTCGATCCCAGGACCCTGGGACCATGACCTGAGCCGAAGGCAGACGCTTAACGACTGAGCCACCCAGGCGCCCCTATTTGTAACATTTTATTTTTATTTTTTTATTTTTTTTAAGGTTTTATTTATTTATTTGACAGAGAGAAACACAGCTAGAGAGGGAACACAAGCAGGGGGAATGGGAGAGGGAGAAGCAGGCTCCCCGCGGAGCAGGGAGCCTGATGCGGGGCTCGATCCCAGGACCCTGGGACCAGGACCTGAGCCGAAGGCAGAAGCTTAATGACTGAGCTGCCCAGGCGCCCCTATTTGTAACATTTTATATCTTAAAAGATCAGAAGCAAATATAGCAAAATATTCAAATATTAAATTTTTATCTTGGGGGTTATATTATTAACTGTACTTTCTGAAAGTTTGCAATAGTTTATAATTACTTGTTAAAATTTTATTTTATTTTTTTATTTTTAAAGATTTTATTTATTTATTTGACAGAGAGAGACACAGCGAGAGAGGGAACACAAGCAGGGGGAGTGGGAGAGGGAGAAACAGGGTCCCTGGATGCCGGGCTCTATCCCGGGACTCCGGATCATGACCTGAGCCGAAGGCAGACGCTTAACGACTGAGCCACCCAGACGCCCCTGTTCATTGTATATTTAAATTACTGACCTTTGTTCATAAAGATACGACTTGGTGCTTTTTTTTTTGTTTGATGTAGACTTTATTTTTAGTTCATTTATCCCCTTTTCCCCATCTCTCTGCATTGGTTTTGTTAAATTCACTTATTCTTGAGAAACACTTGATGGCTCTGGTGTAGAGGCTTCAGGTGGGGCCGGAAGAGCAAACTGCTTTCATGAGAAGCAGCCTTTGCGTTTCCTAGTCAACTCCATACGTCTGAAGTATTTGGTCTTCTACTATGTTATTGCTTTATGCAGACTTGGAACTTTGCATCTAGATGCCAGAACAAACTAAATTGTGTTTGTCTTATCCAGAGATTGAGAAGATTCAGAAAGGAGATTCAAAAAAAGACGATGAGGAGAATTACTTGGATTTATTTTCTCATAAGAACATGAAGCTGAAGGAGCGGGTACTGATACCTGTCAAGCAGTATCCCAAGGTAAGGCATAAAGTGCCTCACTCACTTCGTTGTCTTTGTAGGTGTGAGAGCCATGGGCTGAAATAAAGACTTCTGGAAATTGTGATGCATCAGGTCCTTGAGCCTGTGAAGCTTCTCTCCCATACTTGCAGTACTTGTTTCTGGCAATTGAAACATCTAAGTCTAGATCTAACAGCATACCTATAGCTAGGAAGGAAATATAATCAACTTTTTATTACCAAAAAGAGTTTCTTTCTCAAGTGTTTGTTCAGGCTCCAAGTTCAAAGGAAAAAATTGAAGAGTTGCCCTCTGTCGAAAGATTGACGTGGGGGGAAAAGATTGACGCAAAATCTAAATACAGGAAATGTAACACAAATCCTTGACTAGGTGAAGTTAATTTTATTTCTTACTCAGTGTTTTACTTCTAAATAAATCCTTTCTTGTTTTTCTCCTCCTCCTCCTCCTTTTTTCCGTTTTTTAAGGGAAAGAAATTAGTTCTATTTAGTTGATGAAACAAGTACTACAAAAGAATGCCATATGTTTGTTTTGTTCTGAGGTCACTGCCTTAAAAATACTTATGTGTGTTGAAGTACTAAGGGTTGCAGTGTGATAATTTGGAAAGAGCACCAGACTACATCAGGAAACCCAAGTTCAAGTCTAGGAACTGCTACTTTCTAGTGTAATGTTAGACTATTCACTTTTTTCAGTCTATCCTCAGCATATCCTTCAGTAAAATGGGAATGGTAATACGCCCCCAATTTTGCAGGGTTGTTGAAGATCAAATGAGATAATACATGTGGAAATGTTTTATAGGAACATGTATATTGAGAAATCTATTTTTATTTTCTGTCAGTTCAATTTTGTGGGGAAGATCCTCGGGCCACAAGGGAATACAATCAAAAGACTGCAAGAAGAGACAGGTGCAAAGATCTCTGTGCTGGGCAAGGGCTCAATGAGAGACAAAGCCAAGGTAAGCTCCTGTCAGTGAGGCAAGAAGACAATGCCTTCAAGAAGCCAGCACTTGTACAGAATGTGAATCCCTTAAATTTGTGTTGGCTGTAAGAGATTATAGACCAGGTTAACTTACTTGTTTGGCAACCCTGGAAGAGCCTAGGTATGCCCTGGTGATTGTTTCTTTCCTCACTTTTGACTGCATAGTAATGGAAGCAGCAGTAGCAACTTTCACATTTGTAAGCATTTGTCTATGAAAACTTGGAAGGGGAGCTGGATATACTAAAACTGATCCAGACGAAAGACACTAAAATGTGAACAGCATATTCCCTTTCCAGTAACATAGAAAAGTGAGAGCAATAATGTTTTGAGTGCAGGTGAGTCTGAGAATTAGTTGTTTGGGTTTTTTAATAGCCTGCTGGAATGTAAAGAACACTAAAAGAAAGTATTTCTTTTTTTTTTTTTTAAGATTTTATTTATTTATTTGACAGAAACACAGCCAGAGAGGGAACACAAGCAGGGGGAGTGGGAGAGGGAGAAGCAGGCTTCCCGCTGAGCAGGGAGCCCGATGTAGGGCTCGATCCCAGGACCCCAGGATCATGACCTGAGCCAAAGGCAGATGCTTAACGACTGAGCCACCCACACACCCCTAAAAGAAAGTATTTCAAAAGGAACCATGAGTAATCCTGACAACAGAACCTAATGCTGATTTTTTTTTCATGTCATAGCCCCATGGGCTTTGTATTCTTCATAAGTTTAAAAAAAATTCCTATCAAGACAGAAGAGTCTTAGCTTTCTAGAGTTAGCTTTTTAGATGAGACATATCAGGTACAGCCTAAAAATTTAGTCATTCAGGGCTCTTTTTTGCAGCCTAAAGTGACAAACATTGTTTTCTCAGAGCCTCTTCTTTTGTCCACTCACATTTCTCATTAGATGAATACACTTAGGGCTGAAGTATGTTATTCTACCTAATGAGATTTACTTGAGATTTTCTTCACTCTATCCTGACTTTTTTCCTCCCCTAGGACTCCCCAGACCATATAAGCAAATAGGAAGAGCTGGTGCTGGGACACCTGGCTGGCTTAGTAGAGCATGCGACTCTTAATCTCAGGGTCATGAGTTTGAGCCCCACAAGGGGGGTAGAGATTACTTAATAAATTTAAAAAGTTTAGGGGCACCTGGGTGGCTCAAGTCAGTAAGCATCTGACTCTTGGTTTCGGCTCAGGTCATGATCTCAGGGTTTGTGAGGTCAAGCCCTGCTTTGGGCTCCGCGCTAGGCATGGAGCTTGTTTAAGATTCTCCCTTCCCCTCCCTTGGCTCCCCCCATAAATAAATAAACTTACTTATTTATTATTTAAAATTAAAAAAAAAAAGAGCTGGTACTTAATAGCACTACCTGGGATTTAAAAGCAAATGCTTGGCAGTGAATGAATGCACGCATGCTTGGCAAACAGCTGATATCTGAATGAAGACTGGAATTAAGTTTCTCTCTTCAGGGCCCCTGGGTGACTCAGACGTTAAGCATCTGCCTTCATTCAGCTCAGGTCATGATCCCAGGGTCCTGGGATCGAGCCCCGCGTCGGGCTCCGGGCTCAGCGGGAAGCCTGCTTCTCCCTCTCCCTCTGCCCCTGCTTGTGTTCCTTCTCTCACTGTGTCTCTCTCTGTCAAATAAATAAAATCTTTAAAAAAAAAAAAAAAAGTTTCTTCTGTACCTTCTAATAAGAGCTGCAGTGAATACACTAGGAATTCAAGACAGTGGTTAACTTTTAGTAGCAGACTGATTACAGGTTTAGCAGGTTGTGTGAATTACTATTCTCCAGACCTTGTTTTGCTTTCTTTTTACACTTTGCTGTTTTTCTTAGATTTTTAGGTTATTTCTTGCTGTCTCTTTGGGCTGGAGGTATCAGTGTCATTTTCTCCCATTCCATGTGATGTGATGTTTTTCTGCATTTTTCCATAGGAGGAAGAACTGCGCAAAGGTGGAGACCCGAAATATGCCCACTTGAATATGGATCTGCATGTCTTCATTGAAGTTTTTGGACCCCCATGTGAGGCTTATGCTCTTATGGCCCATGCTATGGAGGAAGTCAAGAAGTTCCTAGTACCAGTAAGGAAATCCACATCCTATATCTTTGAGCAAGAGAGAACTGGGATCTTGTGCTGTTGCTAATAAGGCAGGGGTTCTTAATCATGATCTCTGCATAACCTGAAATTGCGTACCAAATTCTGTATTTATGTTCATTTTTCTGAAGTAGTGTGTTACTTGTACCTAGTTCTCAAAACACTGTGCCCCAAAGCCACTCTACCGTCCTTGTCTAATGTGGTTTTAGTTATATACCAGGATCTGTTGTTAGTATCTTAGGTCCACAGTGTGTCTGGCATCTTAACATCTGGTTAACGAAGATTTAACAGAGTCTTCACTAAGTGTGTTGGTATTAGTGTGGAACCAGGAGGTTATGATAAGACGATGGCTAAGATGGTCATAAACCCCCTGTACTCAAGGGTTTACGTTCTAGACTCTAGAGAGTGTAGAACATAACAGCAAGAGCCTTCTAGCATCCAATGTTAATAGACTAAATTTTGACCAGGGTGCATTCAGGGCTTTCTCTCCTGGAGGAATTTCTCACATAGAGTTTGATTTGAAAGAGGCATAATTGTTAAGGCTTGACTGTTGATGATACTAAACAAATAGGTGTGCAGTTCCTTTCAGAGTGTAACTGAGGCCCACGAAGAGTTGGGACAGACCAGGTTACCTGTCTTGCTTATTACCACCTGGTCAGAGGATCCATTCTTTGAATAAGTAGAAAATGGTGTGATTTTTGCTCAGCAAGACCTACTAGTTGTCAGAATTAACATACTACAGTTGAATATTTAATAACCAAGGATGAATCTGGAACCTTAGGAAGTGAGAAATACTCTTAACTAGAATTGAGTAAGCATCCTGTTTTCATCACTAAAACTAAGAGGAGTGAGATACAGTTCTTGGTTTTCTTGTGAACGCAAAATGAGGAGTTGGAACTAAATGTGGTGTCAGAGGATGTGAGAATTGATAGAGCAGAAATTTATAGGCAGTGTGTACCTATAATGCTGAGCTCTAAGAATTCCAACACTGTCTCAGATGTCTCAGCAGCTGCTTTGCTTCCAAGTACCTCGTCTTCGTTAGAATGTTCAAACATGAAACATACAATTTAAAATATCCTAGAGAAGACCTCAGAGCTGGTAAATTTTCCCTTGAGAGAGTTCTTTTTACTCTTTTTGAGGTGTTCTATTGAAGCATCCTGAGCCACCCAGTTTCTGAAGGACTGTAGGGGAATGCCCATCTCCTCTTTATCTTTACTCTCAGCATATTTCTCAAAAGGAATAGCTTTACAAGGCTTTCATGTAAGTGGTCTTCTAAAAAGATACCTGCCAGGCATATCTGGGTTTCCTCAGTGTTGGTGTAGCATTTGGAAGAATCTAGGCAAATGGGCTGTCATTGGTCACTTGATTCTCCAGGGTGGGTCTCAAGCAGCAGTAGTGTGTAAGGTAGGAGGAGGTGAAAAGTTGGGGTGGGGGGGCATCTCTCTGGTGACTAGAATCTTCTATTCTTGAAGCTCTATCCACCTGGGATATATAAAAAAGCATGGAGTATTAAAACTGAATGGCTCTCATCAGGAAATATGTGAAAAGATTTGCAAATGGCATTTGACTCAATTCTTCCCTCTTGTGAAGAAAAAAAAAAGTGAGCCTATTTTTGCATCCATGACCAGAGCCTCCGTTTTCCCCTTAGAACCATTAACTGTACCAGAGAGGCTTCCTGGTACAGTAGGAAGAGCACTGGACTGGGACCTTTATCCGCGTCATCTTGGACAAGTTATTATTTCACTTTTCTGAGCCTCAGGTTCCTTGTTCATCCCAAACATTTGTTAAGTATCTGGTAGGTGCCTAATACTCTGCTTGGGTCTGAAGTTACAAAAATGGCTCCTTTCTCACAATCTAGTGAGAAAGACAATTCTAGAATGACGTGGTAAGTGCTTGGGTAGAGAAAATTACACAGTGCTGTGGAAAAAGAGGAGGGAGTGGGGGTGGCATCAAAGAAAGTTTTTCAAAAGAGGTAATATTTTAGATTAAGTCTTGTAAGAATGAGTTAGTCTCTCAGGTACACAAAAAAGGCAATGTAGTCCAGTAATTCAAAGCCTAGATTTTGGAGACAGATAATTCTGAATTCACATCAAGTCTGCCACTTACTAGCTTTATGTCCTTAGGCTGGTGGGCTTTATATGCCCTGATTCTTTTTTCCCAACTGTAAAATGGGAAGACCTGCCTACTTACTTCAGGGTTATCTTGAAGATTAAACTGCAAAATCTATAGAGAGGTTATTGTAAAGTGTCCAGTATGTAGAGCTTAATTAACGGTAGTAGCTTTTACTATCCTAGGAAGAGGAAGCTATTTGCAAGAATGGGTGTATAAGTATGCCAGGTTCTGAACTACAAGTTGTTCCACATGGCTTGAAAGGAGGTTATCCATGGAGAGTGGCTGGAAGTGATCTGGAGAGCTAGGTAGGGACTAATTATGAAGATCTTCAGCTGAATAATGAGGGATGTGCCATCAGGACTTTCCTCGAAGAGGTGACAGGTAGGGTGCCATTTGACTTCAGAGAATGCATGACCTGAGACTTCATCCAGGCATTCAGAGCTGGTCTTAGTATCCAAGGCTTATGTGGGCTGGACAGCTTCTCAGCAGAAGGTGGAGATGTGGCCCAGTAATCCTTATTATCTTTCATTTGCAGGATATGATGGATGATATCTGCCAGGAGCAGTTTCTAGAGCTCTCCTACTTGAATGGTGTACCGGAGCCCTCTCGTGGACGTGGGGTGCCAGTGAGAGGCCGAGGAGCTGCACCTCCTCCTCCACCTGTTCCCAGGTAAAAATAATGGAGACAACTAGAAACAGGATGTAAATTTGACCAGTACCATTTCTCTCTTAGTGGTGCTCTTATCTGCAGCTTAGAAGGGGGCCTCAGGATTGGAATAAGTAGATCTTAGGTACTTTGGCCATAGTCAAGTGCAGCAGTCCTGTCGAAACTTTTGGTCTTTTAATTTTGGACAGTTCTAGCATTTTAAAATGGTCTCTGGCTTTAGAATTTTGCCTTTTGTGACTGACCTTTATGGAGTGTTCAGACTTTCCATCATCCGCTGATGAAATATTCATAGGTCTGCTATGGAACCTGGGGAGTCTCCGGGATGGGTCTTTTACCCACCCATATATTCCTTTGTGGGTTTTTTGGGGGATTTTGCTTGTTTTTTCCCCTGTATTTTAATAATAGTTTACTTAAGGCATTGTGAAATCTGTCTAGCTCCAGAATTTGCAAACAGATCTGAACATGAAAGTATTATCTGTGTATTAAAAGCTCCATTTAAAATAAATTTTCTTTTTGCAGGGGCCGTGGTGTTGGACCACCTCGGGGGGCTTTGGTGCGTGGTACACCAGTGAGAGGAGCCATCACCAGAGGTGCCACCGTAACTCGAGGAGTGCCACCCCCACCTACAGTGAGGGGTGCTCCAGCACCAAGAGCACGGACAGCAGGCATCCAGAGAATACCTTTGCCTCCACCCCCTGCACCAGAAACATATGAAGAATATGTAAGAAATTTGAACAGTGTGCCATTTCCCAACACCTAGAAGGTTGCCAAAGGAAGTTGAGTGATAGGGCATTGGCCCTTGATGTAGGTGGCAGGGACTACCTATAAGATCTGGAGTCCGGTCTCTTCTTTTGCAGTGAATGTGAAACTATGAGAAGATTTTTCCATTTTAAGCATAGTTGACTATGTGTGAATAGATTAAACAGGAAGTAGGCTGTGCCTTGATAAATACACAGTGTTTTAGTAAGGGGTCTTTCCACTAGTACTACTGATAATGCTCAAGTTCAACATTTTACCTTGTTTCCTGCCCACAATTTGAAGGGTGGTTTGGTTTGGTTGGTGGTTCAGTCTTGTTTCTTTCTTTTTTTTTAAACCCTTTCTCTGTCAACTATTCCCCAGTGGGTGTTAATTTTGGAGGAAAATTCTGCATTCTGTTAATCTAGAAGCCTACCGTCCTCCCATGGGATGTAATTACCTTCCCTACTCTGTGTGATTCTGACTTTCTATTTCATTTTATTTGTTCTAGGGATATGATGACACATATGCAGAACAAAGTTATGAAGGCTACGAAGGCTATTACAGCCAGAGCCAAGGGTAAGTTAGGCAATAGAAGTGCTACTTCATGTCCTAGGGATGGATGGAAGGAGTTGGAGCAACCGAGAGATTTAGGTAGCACACATCTAAGGAGCAGTGTGGTTCCCGTTTAGGGGGTATCTCTGCTTTCCACGTCTGCAAGGCACACAGATCTGTAAGCTTAGATAACTGAGTCTTAATTTATAGTATAGAATCTGGGAATAGCAGATGAAAAATTCCTGAGCTGTGACCACATGGAAATGAAGGGAAAATGCCTTTAAATTGTTTTGATGTATTATTGCCACACTAAAGGTACATAAAAGTTTAAAAGGAAGCTAGAATCCTACTACCATAACTTACGTTATTTTCTGCACTTGTCTTAAATAACGTTTTTGTGTATATGTATTTTATCTGTGACTGACTGAAAAAGTATTTCAAAATCGTACAGTGGGGACAGAACAGCATGTTTGTTTATTCTCTTCCAGTGAGCCCTGTAAATGTATGTGTGTGTGTGTGAACACTATGATTAAGATGGTCACTTTTGGATTGTGCTTTTCCACTTTAAATTATGTGGTATCCATTTTTCTTTGCTATGATTGTAAATTTTTTTTTTTTGTTAAATACATAGCACATACGTGTTTTGGAAATATTTTCTGGTTTGGAGATGGGGCAAAATGAGCATTTTCCTGTCTTACACATGTAGTAAAATGCCTGAAATGTGGGAAGAAGGAGAAATGGAAATAGAGTTACTCTGTCGCTCTCTAACACTCTGTCTTTGTCTTTCAGGGACTCAGAATATTATGACTATGGACATGGGGAGGTTCAAGATTCTTACGAAGCTTATGGTATGTCTTTATTTCCATGGTGGGCAGAGTGTGCAAGTAAGGGCCTGCACGAGTGCTAGTGGCTGGACTATTGGGGGCCACCGGGCACACACCCAAAAAGGAGCCTTTAGAAAGCTGAGATGTTGGTAGATGTGACAGTAGCCGTCCCATTCTTATTGAAATTGTGTGGTGTGCCGGGAAATAGGAGTTCTTAAGGTGAGATGGAGTTACTCTTGGAAAGCTAAGCAGATGTCTTAAACTAGATGTCTGTTTGGCCTGGTTGGAGCTGCAAACTTTTAAGCTGATGTTGATCTTTTTCTACTTTAGACCAGGAGAGATTGCCAGGCCTAGGTCATGTTGCAGGGCCTTTGCTGTTGGTGCCTACGCCACATTGGTACATACTAAGAACTTCATCATATCCAATTTTATTCTCCAGCCCCACCACATTTTTTTTCTTTAAGATTTTATTTATTTTGCGCGAGAGAGCGAGTGTGCTTAAGTGGGGGGGCAGGGGCAGAAGGAGAGGGAGAACCAGACTCCTCACTGAGCAGGGAGCCCAATGCAGGGCTTGATCCCAGGACCCTGGGATTATGACCTGAGCTGAAGACAGATCCTTAACCGACTGAGCCACCCAGGCACCCGGCCCCACTTCATTTTTAAGAGCAATTTTGGATCTCATTGAAAAGAATCTCAGTGTAGAGGAAATGTTAGCTGAAAGGGAACTAGATGGCAAGTAGCTAGCGAAAAGCAGGTTGGGTGCAAGAATCGTGCCTGTCAGTCTCAGATCTGAGATGGTAGGGGCTGGGGCCAATTCAGGGCAGTACTGGCACCAAGCTCCTTACTGGCTTGGAGACATCTCAACTCAGTCCTTGATCCCAGGAGAGCTCTAGCGGCTGAAATGGCAGCAGGACCAAGCTGTCTTCCCTGAGGTTTAGTTGAAAACACATTGCTCAAGAGTGTCCTCAAGAGCCAATTATGACCCCATGTTAATGGGCCCCAGAGGGAGTGCCATGCGGCAGTGGGTGAGGGAGAGCAGCCTTTTAAACGCAAGGTATTTTCAACATACCTGAGGGAGTTCCAGAGTCCTTGGCCAGGGGCTCAGCAGTTGACAGTTCATCTTAAGATGCTAGTTAACAGTGTCGTGTGTCCCCCCTTCCCCCACCTTTGCCTAGCTGAAAAGGGCGTAGGGAGCCTCTTGGAGCTCCCACAGACAGACAAGCTGAGCTTAGCTCCTCAGCTCAGTATGTAGTAGCCAGTCAGCTGCTTGCCTAGGGAAACTCTTTTTACCAGTTCTAGCTAAAGGGTCCTGGACAGTTGCCATCAGTAACACTGCACTGCTCTGCTTCCAGAGTGGCTGGTAGGCCACTATTCAGAAGGGCAGTGGGATTGCCCCAGGGTATTTCCCTCCCATGGGCGAGGCAGCACAATGGGGCCTCTGTATGTGTTTGACTGAATTACATTTCTGTTTTGCCAGAGAAGAGACTGGACTGAAAGAGGCCGGCTGCCTCTCTTGCTCCTGGTGTGTTGTTGCACAGTTAATCGGTTATGATTTCTGCCTTTATAAACAGAATTACAAAAATAAACTGTCTTTTTAGGACCAGAAGCCACTTGGAAAGTGATGGATGTACCTGTTATACTAAGGGTATAAACAGGCTTAGATAGGGCTCTGTGGGACTTCAGGTCCATATAGAGGCTTTAGACCTTTAGTGAATGCAGGCAGCTGGAGAAATATACATCAGGAATGAACTGGCATGGGTAAAGTATGGGGGCGAGTGGGAAGAATAAGCTCATAAACGCAACTCCTTTTCATAAGAGGTCAGCTATAGAAGTAAGTGATCATTTCCCTCAGGCTTTTCCTTGTAACAAAGGAAAGCCATTTGAGGATGTCAACCATGTTGTCTGGCTTCTCTGGACTATTGCATGAGAAAGGAAACCGTGAATTCTCCATATCATTGCTATAAACACATTGAATTATACTTCCCTCTGCCAGAGCAGTGGACCAGCTCTGCTGGTGGGGAAGCCTCATGAAATGTGGCCCTTGCTTGCTTCTCCCAGAGAGCCAGAGGACACTTTTCAACAGGGAAACCTGACTTGCTGTTGGAAAGGGAGCTACCTGCTTCCAGTCTGAAAGACTTCCCAAAGTTGCCACATGACCTGAGGCTTTCTCCCCAGTTCCTTTGGGAACAGGAAAAAGGGCATTGCAGACCTACTAAGATTCATTTCCTCCCTGTCTCAAGCAAAGTGTTGGGTTCATCCAGGTTTGGGGGCTGGAGTAGAGATCATGTTGCCTGTGGAGAACCTCTTTGCTAAAGATGACTCCAGGCCTTTTCTGAGCTGTTTCCTTCTGTCTGTCCACTCAAAATTGCCCTACAGCTGGGAAATTAAGCTGTTCAGGAGGGCCAAGCAGAGCAAAAAGCAGGGACCATTGGGACATGCAAGACACTGGAAGCAAAGCAGTGTTTTTGGTGATCTTTACCATTTGACCTATTCCTGCTCATCCCAAAATGCCAATAGCACATGGTTTATAAACTGTTCTTGCTTTCCCCACAGGCCAAGACGACTGGAATGGGACCAGGCCGTCACTGAAGGCCCCTCCAGCTAGGCCAGTGAAGGGAGCATACAGAGAGCACCCATATGGACGTTATTAAAAACAAACATGAGGGGAAAATATCAGTTATGAGCAAAGTTGTTACTGATTTCTTGTATCTCCCAGGATTCCTGTTGCTTTACCCACAACAGACAAGTAATTGTCTAAGTGTTTTTCTTCGTGGTCCCCTTCTTCTCCCCACCTTACTCCATTCTTAACTCTGCATTCTGGCTTCTGTATGTAGTATTTTAAAATGAGTTAAAATAGATTTAGGAATATCGAATTAATTTTTTAAGTGTGTAGATGCTTTTTTCTTTGTTGTTTAAATATAAACAGAAATGTACCTTTTATAATAAAAAAAAGAAGTTGAGTAAAAAAAAAAACCACAAACCTGTTAGTTTCAAAAGTGACATTGCTTGCTTAAAGGTTCTGAAGTTTAAGGCTTGTTAACTTTCTCTTAGTTTTGATTTGAGGCATCCCGTAAAGTTGTAGTTGCAGAATCCCAAACTAGGCTACATTTCAAAATTCAGGGCTGTTTAAGATTTAAAATCACAAACGTTAACGGCAGTAGGTGCCACCATGTAAAAGTGAGCTCAGACGTCTCTAAAAATGTTTCCTTTAAAAGCACATGGCGGTTGAATCTTAAGGTTAAATTTTAATATGAAAGATCCTCATGAATTAAATAGTTGATGCAATTTTTAACGTTAATTGATTTAAAACAACAACAAAATTAGGTTTGTAAAACTGACTTTTTCATTATGTGGGTTTTGAAATCTAGCCCCAGACATACAGTGTTGAGAGATACTTAGTGGGGAGTAGGTTTTGAAGAGGTGGATTCGGGGACAGGGGCTGGCCACCTGGATTGAATTTGATGCAGAGCTTTTCAGCCATGAAAAAATCCTTCAGTAATCGTACTAATAATTAAAATTTCAGTATTTAAAAAGACAAAGTGTTTTGTCCCTCCGAGGTTCTGCACTCCATGAAAAGCTCACTTGGACACTGGAACCAAAAGCTGATGATTTTTTAAAGTTGACGGTTGTCAATATTGAACTGTTCCCAAGGTAGTTAGTCAAGTATGTCTCAACACTAGCATGATATAAAAAGGGACACTGCAGCTGAATGAAAAAGGAATCAAAATCCACTTTGTACATAAGTTAAAGTCCTAATTGGATTTGTACCGTCCTCCCATTTTGTTCTTGGAAGATTAAATGCTACATGTGTAAGTCTGCCTAAATAGGTAGCTTAAACTTATGTCAAAATGTCTGCAGCAGTTTGTCAATAAAGTTTAGTCCTTTTTTAATCAAAGTAAATGTGATGAATTGTCATTTTTTTGGGTGGACAATAAAATAGTTTTCTCTTTCAAATAAACTTAAATTAACTCTAAAGTTAATGGGCTTGTTAAAAGTTGGAGACATTCTTAAAAGTGGTGGGGGGGATTTTATTTTAAGTTTACCAAAAAAAAAGTTTATCGAGTTGTTAAGTTTTAGTTTAAAAATAACCAAAGCTTTTTCACCCCCTGGAAGTTGTTGACAGCAGTTTTATCCCATCCTATCACAAGCTCTAATTTCTGGAGAGAAAAACCCAACTGAGCCGAAACTTGGATTGGTTTCTGTACATAGGCCTCAGTATTTAAAGTGCCAGCCACCCTTGTCTGCACCTCTCTAAAGCCCCTAGGTGGCCCTAAGCGTGACACCAAATAATCTCCGTGAGCTTGGAAAGGGATAGCACCTGCCTTTAGATACGACAATTCAGCAAACCCTGGGTGCCCTTAAGGGTTTCCCTTCCGATCCCAGAAATGCTGTTAACAAATCAGCTGGGCTGGGGCAGGATCTGGCATGATAGGCTGGCTCTGAACTCCCTCCTGAGAGACCAAGAGAGGAAATGATGGAATTGGTTGGCCCTGTTTCCACTCCTCTGTTAATTCTCAGGGTTCTCATGCCTTCCCTAAGGGAGCCACCTAAACTGCTCGGGGGTGAAAAATCCTCTTGTATGAAGTGCCAAGCTGCCTGCAGCAGTGCATGATGGACATTTTTTTTCTTTTTAAAACACACCAACAAAAAAATGTATTTGTAGATTGTGATAAAGTGTAAATAACTGAATTTTCAACCATGGTTTGAAGTCAGCTTTCAGGGCATTATGTCTTGTTTTGATGAAAAGAGATCACTCTATACCCCCCTTTTTAAAGGAAAATTATCGCAAGAGAATCAGGATGTGTAAAGCTAACATGCATCGCAAAAAACCAAAGGTAACCTAAATGTCTGATTTTAATAGCACATATTTCTCTTTTACATAAACTGTGACAGCAACTTGCATAAACAATTCTTTAGCTGTTAATTTTAATGTTAAAACTTGGCAAAATTTGTTTAATAAAAAATAGCTGTAAAAAGAAAAACCATATGCTGCCGCATAAATTAGCCATAACTCTTAATAATCCTGCCCATCACAAGTGAACTGTAATGTAACCTGGGCACAAAGTCTGACATCTTAAATGACACATTGTAAAATTTCAATGACTGTAGATTAGACCTGCTGCTCCCCAAAGTCAAGCTTTCTGCTCAGCTATTTAAAAATGTACAAGGATGATCCCCTATAGGTCCCCATATTGATATTCACAATGAAATGTTATTTAAAATTTCTTTAAAGTTGCATGTTTCTCTCCTGTAATGTGTAAACTGCATGCAGGATCTCTATCTTTTATTTTGTATGTCTTTAAAACTTCCTCTTCAAAAGGCTGATCTCTTACTTCTCCATTTTCAGGTGATTGAAAACTCCTGAGGCATTTCCTGGAGTAGAATGGGTAGTGAAGACCCATGTCAGGTATGTTAAGGTAGCTTTCTATTAAGGATGTGGGACTTTTATCCTAATTATAAGATAGTTTTGCCAGGACGTGGCCTGGGACATGGTCCATGGGCAAATCTTTCTCACATGTCATTTGTACCATATTTACAACACAACCATCAGTCCATATTGAATTTACTTGCAATGGTTGTAGCGTCAGCTTACATCTGTTGAATCCCACCCTATCCTGTCAATAACCTAATGGGACAGTGTTTCATTTGGAGTTCACTGGTTGTAAGCAACAAAGTGACCGGCTAATGTAAATAAAAGGGAATTTATTAGAAGGATGTTAGGGGCTCACAGATTTAGTATGAAGGCTAGAAAATCTGGCATGGGAACCAGATGGGCTGCAGAGAACTGGGGCAGCAGTGATAGACCACAGGAATGTTCTTGAAGCCAGGACTAGCTGTTTAGGTGCTGTTGCTAGAATGAGTGAATTCTAGCCCTGTTTGCTTTCTTTTTCCCTGAAGATGCAAATTCTAGAGAGGGAAAGTCAAGACTGTATTAGCTTAAGTCACATGTTCATACTTTACCAGGTTGTGGTAAGAAAAAAGTAATTCCTCAAAAGGAAGTCGGGTGTTATTAGGAAAAGGGAATGGATACTGGGCAGGCAAACAGCAGTTGTCCAGTATTATTTGTGTATTACAGAAGTGACGGAGACTTAATAAGGTTAAGTGACTTCCCGGGGTCATATAATTAGTATGGTTGGTTAGTAATCAAGCCCAAGTTTGTTGCCAGAACCTAACATCTTTACTCTCCATATTATATTGCTTTTAATGTAAGGAAGGGGTATTTCTCACCCTGAGGAGACCCTCGGAAAAGGATAGTGTGGCGCAGTAGAAAGGGCAGGAGACCTAACAAGAGTTGAATCGGCAACCTATTTTTGTTTCGTGACCTAAAACCACTTATTTCCTCATCTGGGAAGGAAGATAGTGATAACATACACCTTATAGTGGTCAGCAAACTGAATGAGTTTTATTATATATAAGGCCAATCAATTCAGTGTCCTATACATAATAAATATTCGTGTTCATTCTCTAAGAAAGGGTAGCCCCCTGATTGGGGTGCGGGGACTTCTGACAACTGAGCAAGCCTACCTGCCGATTGAAGCCATCCAGGAACTAGCTGGATGATTTTTCCCTCTGCCCCTGAGTGGGTTGTTAGGGTTAGGAGGGCACCGAAGGGAAAAGACCAAACTCGGGAGAGGCCAAAGGCACATACAGCCTTTGTCAGTGAAATTTGCCTTCTTGGAGTTCATTTCTTCCCAACCTGCCTCTCCCAGGAGCCTCTGAGATCTAGAGATTTTAAAGAGGATTGTGTGTATTGAGCATGGTTCTGGGCACCAAGGAAGTCCTAAGTTTGATATTGATTACATGAATGGCAAAACAATTTTAGAGGAAAGTCCCTGAATGCAGAGAATTAGTTCCAACTCTTCCTAGGGTAGTCTTAAGAGCAGAATTTTGGGGATGCTTCTTTCCTCATTCGGCCTGTAACTTGCGCCTGGAAAAACAGGTTTTATTGTTGGCAGACCCCGGTCTGTCGGTGGTCTGCCTTTTCTGAATGTGGAGTTTAGTCAGTTGGTCCCAGTGTTTTCCATAGCTTTCTGTCACTACCTGTGACAGTCCTGTAATTTATAGTCCTGTAATCTTTAGAGCCAGGCAAGATTGGGGACCTGTCCTGACTCTGCCTCATCATAGCCTTGGTCTCTGTTTTGACAAAACCAAACCCTTAATCCCTCTCTGGGCTTCATTTCTTTATCATCAAACGAAGTTGATAATAGTAGCTAACATTACTGTGATAATATCCTAAGCAGTTAATAAGGACGATCTCATTTGGTCTTCTCTACCTTACTCTTAATTAATACAAAATTTGTGTAACTTAAAATTTACCATTTAACCGTTTTAAAGTGTACAGTTCGGTGGCTTTTAGAATATTCACAGTGCTGTGCAACCATCATCACTATTTAATTCCAGAAAATTCCCATTACCCCAAAAAGAAATCCCATACCTGTCAGCAGTCACTCCCAATTCCCCTCTTTCCCCAGCCCCTGGCAACCACTAACCTACTTTCTGTTTCTATGAAATTATATAATATGTGCCTTTTGTGATAGGCTTCTTTCACTTTGCATAGAGTTTTCAAGGATCATCCCTGTTGTAACATGTATCAGTACTTTGTACTAGTGACAGGAAGCATATTACTTCCAAAAGCAACCCATTTCTCTTAAGACAACTCCAAGTATTAGAAGTTATCCCTCATTTTGAATGAGTCATGGGTTTTACCTTGGACCCCTGAGGGAATATCCTGTCAAACATTTGAAGTTCATTTTCATTCATGTTTCTTTTCCAGCTCCAGAAATTTTTTTGTTAGACTTGCTGGATCTGATTTTCCAGAAAAACTAGAAATTTGGATTTTACATACAGCAATTGTTTAATGTACGTTCAGATTAGTATTAGTCCCTGTAAAACCTCTGTGGCAAGCCAAATGCTGCCGGTAGGCAGCCTACCAGCTTGCAGCTTCTGGTTAACTTCTATTAATACAAACTAGAAGACATGTTACGATTATTGAGATACAATCATATCCATAAGATTCACCCATTTAAAGTGTACAATTCAGGGGCGCCTGGGTGGCTCAGTCGCTTAAGTGTCTGCCTTCTGCTCACGTCATGATCCTGGGGTCCTGGGATCGAGCCCTGTGTTGTCCCTCTCCCTCTGCCCTCCTCCCTCACCCCAGCTTTTGCTTGCTTGCTCTCTCATGCTCTCTCTCAAATAAATAAAATCTTAAAAAAAAATAAAGTGTACAATTCAGTGGTTTTTAATAGATACGAAACTGTATAGTCCTCACCACCGTCAATTTGAGAACATGTTTATCACCCCCAGAAAAGAATTCCCATGCTTTTTAGTCATCTCCCCCAGTCTACTGAACTTCTCCAGCCCTGATCAGCCACTCATCTACTTCCTACCTTTGTTGACTTGCCTATTCTGGACATTTCATATAAATGGAATCATCCAATATATGGGGTATTTTTTGACTGGCTTCTGTCACTTAGCATTGTGTCTCCAAGTTCCATCCATGTTGTAACTTGTATCAGTACCTCTTTCCTTTTATTGTCAAATACTGTTTGATCGTATGTGTTTTTCAGCATTATTTGTCCATTCACCCACTGGTGGACATCTGGGTTGTTTCTGCTTTTTGGCTATGATGAAAAATACTGTTATGAGCATCCATGTACAAGTTTTTGTGTAGACATACGTTTTCAGTTTCTTGGACATGCACCTAGGAGAGGAATTGCTGGGTCAGACAGCAGCTCAATGCTTACCTGTTGGAGGGACTGTCAGACTCTTATGTAGAGCTTACACCATTCCCACCAGCAATGTATGAAGTTTCTAATTTCTCGTATCCCCACCAACACTTGTTACGTTCTGCTTTGTTTACTGTAGCCATCCTACTGGGTGTGAAGTGGTGTCTCATGGTGGTTTTGATTTGCACTTCCCTAATGACTAATGTTGTTGAGCTTCTTTTCGTGTGCTGATCCACTATTTGTGTATCGTCTGTGGAGAAATGTTGATTTAAATCTCCTGTCAATTTTTTAATTGAATTATTTGTCTTTTTATTATTAAATTGTAAGTTCTTTATATGGTCTGGTATGAGACCCTTGTCAGATGGGTGATTTGCAAGTATTTTGCTCCCATTCCATGGGTTTTTTATTTTCTTTGAGACACAAAAGTTCCATTTTGATGAAGTCCAGTTTATTTTCTTTTGTTGCTTATGCTTTTGCTGTCTTGGATAAGAAGCAATTGTCTAATCAGAGTCCTGAAAATTTATACCTATCTCCATCTAAGACTTTTTTTTTTAAAGATTTATTTATTTATTTATTTGACAGAGAGAGACATAGCGAGAGCAGGAACACAAGCAGGGGGAGTGGGAGAGGGAGAAGCAGGCTTCCCGCTGAGCAGGGAGCCCGATGTGGGACTCGATCCCAGGACCCTGGGATCATGACCTGAGCCGAAGGCAGACGCTGAACGACTGAGCCACCCAGGCGCCCTCCATCTAAGACTTTTATTGTTTAAATTCTTACATTTAGGTCTGTGACCCATTTTGCGTTAACTCTTGCATATGGTGTGCGATCAGAGTTTCATATTCATTCTTTTGCATATGGATATCCAGTTGTCCCAGCATCATATTATTAAAAAGACTGTTTTGGAGGTGCCTGGGTGGCTCAGCCAGTTGGACATCTGACTATGGATTTCGGCTTGGGTCATGATCCTGGGGATCATGGGATCGAGCCCCACATCGGTCTCCATGCTCGGCAGGGAGTCTGCTTGAGTTTCTCTCCCTCTGCCCCTCCCCCTGCTCTCATGCATGCACACATGCGCGTGTATACACTCTTTCTCTCTCTCCCACTCTCTCTCTGTCAAATAAATCTTTAAAAAAAAAATCTTTAAAAAGACTGTTTTTTCCCCCATTGAATGATCTCGGTGCCTTTGTCCATATTGGCACACTAATTGACCATGGAGATATAGATCTACTACCTTTTGAAGTAGGTATTACTTAAAAGTGATTAATGTAATTTCTGGCATGTAGTAGCTACTCAATGATAAGGAATAGCTAACTGGATTATTTTGGCACCACTAAAGGCTAGTGGTAAGTCATGGGGCTAGGATTGGATCCCGTGTATGGGTATCTCCAAACCACATCTTTACCTTGTCTTATAGCACAGGCTGCTAAAGTGGAAATGAGGCTTGCTGTTCTAGCTGCCACGCCTGGCCATATGTGGTTCCTCAGAAGCTTCGAGGCTGAGCTCCACATGCCATTTCCCCCACCATCAGCGTCCTTTGCTCCTCTCTCCATCTCCCTCCACGATTTCTGTGGAATCTCCTGGGTGCTCCTGGCAATGACTGTGGCTGCTAAGGGAACAGCCTCACCCTCTCTTCCCTAGGGATATGGTAGTTATTCAAGAAGGCTCAGGGCTTGTCCCCTCTTGCTTTCTCCCCACCACTTCCCACCCCTTGCCGCAAGCTAAGAATGAAGGTAAAGATGCATCAGCAGCTGCTAGGGCTTTCTGGCCACTAAGGATGAAACAGACTCAGACTGTGTTTTGTTTCAGGAACAGCAGCCTGAGAGTTGGGACCGAAAAGCCTTCTTGCCCACGCATACGCAGAGTTCCCCTGTACCATGTGAATAGGGGCATAGAGGTATTACGGTAGTGGCTGTTTTGCTCAGGTTTTGTTTTGTTTTTTTTTATTTTTTTATTTTTTTTTAGTTTTTTATTTATTTGCGAGAGAGAGAATGAGAGACAGAGGGTATGAGAGGGAGGAGGGTCAGAGGGAGAAGCAGACTCCCTGCTGAGCAGGGAGCCCGATGTGGGACTCGATCCCGGGACTCCAGGATCATGACCTGAGCCGAAGGCAGTCGCTTAACCAACTGAGCCACCCAGGCGCCCCTTGCTCAGGTTTTTGAAACTTAAGTACTCCCTGCCTTGTCTCAGACCCCGAAGTTCTATGTCCCTCAAGGCTTTGCCCAAAGATCATACTGGAATTGGAATGCACAAGGCAGAACATGGACTCCCTCTTTCTTGATATGTTCTTGTGCTTTGTGTGAGCCTATGCAAGCTGCTGTTTGCTGGCAGTGTTACTGTTAAGTAGTCATTTAAATTGTTATTCCATCTACTCCCATTCATTGATCTTGACCCCACTTTATAAAAGGAGGAGGAAGTGACATAGGGAAAATAGGCAGCTCTGCCTAAGGGAGGAGAGAACTGAATTTGCAGGCCTACTGTGTGTCCCTATTTTTGTAAAGGAGGCAGCTGATACTAGGAGAGGTGGAGTAATTTACCACAGTCTCATAGCAAGTTGTGGGGTGTGCCTGTCAACATTTTTGTACACCGAAGTCCATTCTCTATGCTGAAAGTATGCTCCTTCTGTAAGATAACACCATATTTCATCGACACTGCAGCCATTTATTATAAGATGTAGCAAGTACTGCAAAGAAAGAAAAAATACTGCCAATTAAACTGACAAGATAGTTTGTTTTCGTATCAAGTATAAAATGCATCCTGATCTCGGGGATGTTAAAATCTGAAAAATACGTATTTTAACCACTATTGCATTCTGTCAGTTCTCACGTTGATTTTTCACCATGTGCCGTGCACTGTCTTCTCCACCTGTGAAGTAGCTATTATTGTCCCGTTTTTACACAATGATGAAACTGAAGCCCAGAAAATTAAATAACTTATCCAAGGTCATGCAGCTGTTAAGTAGTGGAGCTGGGATTTAAGCTCAGGCGGTCTGATTTCAGAGTCTGTGATCAACCTCAGCTTCAGGATTATGCTGGAATGTAGAGGAGCTTTACCTGTCAGCCAGAACCACCTCAGGGAGGCTGTCCATCTGTTCTCTATCGTGGAAGGAGGCTGCCTCTGCGGGAATATTTTTGCTAGGGCAGTAAACATTTGCTGAGGCCACTGAGGTCTTTATTCTGGCTGTTCTGGGTCATGGGTCTCCATCCGCTCATAGTGGGAGAGAGTAAGTCTCCAACAGTTCCAGTAGTGTGTGGTTGTCCTGTGTTGCCGAACTGAATACGAAGGAGCCTGGGGGAGCTGTCTGAGAAGGTTTAGAAAACACCAGGCAGGCAGATTAACACAACACCTTATTATGGCTTTAAACAGACTAATGTCAACTCTGCCGCCTCCAGGGTTAGTTTCACTGGCTTTGGAGCCTTAGGCAAGCTATCCTCCCCAAGACTCAGTTTCATCATCTGTAAAATGGGAGATTATCATTTATGTCACAACATCGTTGTAAAGATTGAGTGAATTCATGAAGAACATTCAACATGACCTGTAGGAAGCACCCAGTAAATGTTAGGCTGGAAGAGAGGTGAGTGCCCATTTTGAAAAGCTAAATGTTAGGCAAAGTATTTGGACTTGATTCTGAAGTTTAGGGAGCTGTTGAAGGCCTTGATCATGAGAGTGATTTGGACACACCTGTGTTTGCCATTGTGCCAGCAAGGTAGGGAAGGAGGGAAGAAGCAGAAGAGCAGAGCTTTCTGTAAAGTGGCACCACTCCTTGTGGGAGACTGAAGGGGATATTCTCCCCTCACCCTGCCTGCCTTCTGCTCTCCTCTTGCCTGAAGGCCTTTTGGTTCTAACCTTTTTCAGAAAGAATAATCCTCTCTCCTCTCAGAGATTTGGGCTATTTGAGGGTGGGACGTTAGGCCTTTGTCATATGTTAAGGGCGATTTCCCACCTCCTGTCCCTTTAACCCACCCTGTGAATTGGAGACCAGAACCTGGAGTCTCCTCTGATAGAAATTTTGCTCTTAAGGAATTGTTAAACATGGCTTTGCTTCCCCTGAATGCATGAAGTCTCTGCCTCCATTTTAAGCTCTTAATTCTGTGCTAATTCTACTGGAATTATCATATGCAGATACAGTGACCTACTTAATTTCAGACAACCCCGTGAAGCAGGGATTATCCTGGGAAACTGACAAGTCCGGATTAGGATGACCGCAGGCCCTAAGAGCTGGAGTTTAGACCCAAGTCTCTGCTCTCACTTAACTGCCTCCTGGTCTCTTCTCTATACCTACAGTGGCCACCAGAAGATCAGCTTACACTAAAAGTAGTTCCCAGCTTTGGTGTACAGGATGGGTACCCCTTTCTGGTTTCCAGATTCCTGAAATTAAGAGAAACAGATCCTTCTAAGCCTTCCTTTTCTCTCTCCAGAACCTTCATGTACCTCTTGCTCTCTGGATTAATAGTCTTTACATGTTTAAAGCTAGCAAGCATCTGATGACTAATAGCCTGAGCAGACACGCTGAATACAGCTGTCTGAGACAGCCGCTGTTGGGGCAGGGAGGGGAGGAAGTGCACTGCCCAGCCTAACTACCTGTTCTCTTGTTCCCTGAGCTCGCCCTTGTAGGCCCCTTACGAGCAAAGGCCTATGGTGGCCACTGGACCCTAGTTCTGTCGTGGCCTGATTGCTCCCTGGGCTTCCAAGGAGGCTGCCTTTAGGCAGCAGACCAAACCTTTTTAGGGGGTAATAAGGAGCAGATAAGTTCACTGACCTCTAAAGTCAATTTTCTGGGGTGCCTGTGTGGCTCGGTTGGGCGTCCAACTGTTGGTTTCGGCTTGGGTCATGATCTTGGGGTCATGAGTTTGAGCCCCATGTTGGGCTCCAAACTCGGCAGGGAGTCTGCTTGAGATTCTCTTCCTCTCCTTCTCCCCCACCACCAAATAAATAAAATCTCTAAAAAAAAATAATAAATCAATTTTCTAACCCCTGGGCTGAAAATCTTCTACTCTCTAACCTGTTCTCGCACTGGGGCTGAGGACATGTTCTCAGCCAGTGTTCTGCTAACCATGGGTCTCTATTCTAAGAGGAAGGAGACTTGTATCTGGAAGGGACTTAAATTTCATAACCATGCTGCTGGAGTTTAGCTTCTCGACATTCCTTGACTACAAACGCAGCATCCTCTTGGCAGGAGGTGTGTACTGCTGTGGTGAGTGTCTTAGGCTGGTGTCTCAGGCAGGAGATGGGCAGGTAGGAGTTTTCCGGTAGGAACACAAGCTATCCCAGTGCTTCTCCCCACCTAGACCTAGGGAGCTTGTCGCTTCCAGGAGGCCTTGTCAGTTCCAGGGCAAACTTGGGGAGGATATGGGGACTCCTGGAAAAAGACAACTCATTTGAGAGGTTTCCAGGCAGAGGATGACGCACAGCCAGGCTGCCTGCCCAGATCAGTCACTTAAGTAGAACACAATGCCAGAAATTGGGAGACTACTCCTGTTCTTAAAACTGCATTAAGATGTCTGAATTAACTGTTCCCTTGTCAACCTCTGGAGCCCACTTAGTCCACCTCAGTCTCTTCTTCCCAGACACTGTGGTGTGAGAACTTGAGATAGAAGAGTTTGGGTTCAGATAGAGCTAATTCCTCCCAGGGGCTTTTAGCTCCTGCAGCCTTCAAGCTTCCCATTCGTGGCCTAGCTTTAGGTATAGAACAGGTGCTCCCCATTTCTCAGGCTCTCTGAGGTTGGAATTCAGAAACAAGCTCTACATCTGCCTTTGAGAAAGAAATACCTTGTGCTCTGATAGGATTCATCATAAGCTTCTCTCCAGAGGTCAATATAAATGCCCCCTTTCATTCATTTTATTTTTTTTTAAGATTTTGAATTCATTCATTTTATTTTTTCATTTCATTTCATTTATTTATTTATTTGCGAGAAAGTGTGAGCAGGGGGATGGGCAGAGGGAGAGAGAGAGAGAATCCTCAAGCAGACTCCCCATTGAACACAGAGTCTGACACAGGGCTCGATCCCATGACCCTGAGATCATGACCTGAGATAAAATCAAGATTCAGCTGCTCAACCGACTGAGCCATCCAGGTGCCCCAATTTTATTAAACACATTGGCTAATATAAATTGGAACACCTACTATGTGCTAGATACTGGAGATTCAGTGGCAAATAAGGTAAAATTGGTTCCTGACTTCATGAGCTTATATTTGAGGAGACATGATAAAGAGATGTTAGTCTCATAAATAACATATATCATTTCAGTTGTGATAAGAGCTATGAAAGAAAGGAACAGAGTTGTATGAGGACAGACACCAGGCAGCCCAGCCTAGCCCAGGGGTTCTCTTTGAGGAAATGCTGTTTAAGCTGACATCTAAAGGAAGAGTTAGTTAGAGGGTTTATGAAATGGTTTGGGGCAAGGACACAAAGCACATTCTAGGCAGAGGGTGGGACTGAGGCAGGTTCAAGGTGAGGTAGGAACCTGGCCCTTACTCTAAGGTCAACACTGAAGACCACTGAATCCAGGAGTGAGGTATGGGGAACAACATGATTAAATTTAAACTTCACTTGCTCCTGAGTGGAAAATGGATTATGGATTATGAGGACCTATTAAGAAACTTTGTGTTAGTCCAGATGAGAAATGAGGAAGACCTATAGTAAGTAGGGTGATACCAATGAAAATGTGGAGAAGTGACTGGATCCAAGGACTTTTCAGAGCTACCATAAACATCATTTGGTGGCTGATTAATGTGGGAGAGAAGGGCTTGACTAAGGGGGGGCTCTTCCAGTTACTGGCTGGAACAACTCGCAGAATGGGGGCACCATATGTTAACAGAATGGGAGCACTGCTGCAGGCTTTGGCATGTGCCCCAGGCTTCAGATGTGTGTCTCCTGCAGATAACCCTGAGTATTTGGAGCTGGGATGAACCCCTCAAAAGGCCAGAGGAGATGCCCCACTGAGCCTAGGACTGAGGTGCTAATAATAGCTGTAAGAAGATGACTATTTCCTCATTCTCTTTCCTCCAAAGGCTTTATGTTTTGTTTTTTTTTAAAGATTTTATTTATTTACTTTAGAGAGAGCACAAGTGGGGGGGTGGGGCAGGCAGAGGGAGAGGGAAAAGCAGACTCCCTGCTGAGCAGGGAGCCTGACACGGGGCTGGATCGCAGGACCCCTGGACCATGACCTGAATCAAAGATAGATGCTTAACCAACTGAGCCACCCAGGCGCCCCTCCTCCAAAGGCTTTAAAGCTCTTTGTTAATCTTTATCTTTTTCACATCTCTGGGAGAGCAGAAATCATTTTCCCTTTTGTAGAGCTGGAGGCCCCAAAGTCTGAATAGCTAAAGGCTCCAGTGGCTTAGTTGATTCTGCCCTGGATCACTCAGCTTAGGCATGGCTAAGGATGGGAGGTATATGAAGTGAGAATCCATTCTTATTGCCCGACCAACAGCAAAAAAGACAGCTGTTAGGCTGTGGACTTCTATTGCCTACCCATCTGTGCACCTAGAAACCTGTACGGAATGAAATAACTAAAGTTGTGCCATGGGATGGGGAGATTGTAAGGGGGAGCACCCGGGCCAAATGGGAGGCTAGGAAGCCCCTTGATAGGGTAGCTTCGTGTCTAATTTTCTACCTGTGTCTTTGCAGTGATCAGAGGACTCCGGAAACCAGGAGAGCTGCCTACTCTGTCAAGGCTGGCCTGAGGGCATTTGCTGAGCACAGAGAAACGCAGGAGAGATCAACAGTCTTTTCCCACTCTACTTCTTGATCTGTCTGATTTGCATACAGAAAGCCAGCCAGGATCCCCTAAGAGAGTCTCTAGGCCCAGAATGGAGTCCTCAGGGCTGCAGGGGGCTGTGATGCTAACAATTAAACCTGCTCAGGACTTTAAAGAGTTGAAGGGGACTAATGGCATCCCAAGCACAGCCTCCTAGATCTGAATAAACTGGCATCTCCTACTGTGTCACTCCTATTTTGCCTGCTTCCCCTTAGCCTCCAGCAGAACTGGCTGGAACACACTACCTCCACCTTTTCCTTCGCACCTTCCCACACCTGCATTGTAGGTGCCAGCCCAGGAGCCCTTGGGCACCTCCGGAGGGTTCCCAGGACAAGGCTGGTTGTCACCTCTGTTACAGGCAGAAGAAAGCCAAGTGAGAAGGTTTATTTACTTTGAACAAGTTATTTAACCTCTGAGCCTGTTTTTCTCTTCATTGTTGATTACTAACCTTGTCTAAAAGGCTCTTTTTTTTAAAGATTTTATTTATTTATTTGACAGACAGCGAGAGAGGGAACACAGGCAGGGGGAGTGGGAGAGGGAGAAGCAGGCTTCCCGCTGAGCAGGGAGCCCGATGTGGGGCTCGATCCCAGGACCCTGGGATCATGACCTGAGCCGAAGGCAGACGCTTAACGACAGAGGCACCCCCTTGTCTAAAAGGCTCTTGAAGAGTAGGGCTTTTCCATTTCACCTCTGTACTCTATCCCTTCCCCAGCAAATACCTGGCACTGAGGAGCTCAATAAAAGATTTGGTCAAGTGAAGAATGGTCCCACTCTGGTAGCTTCTGTCAGCTTTGGGAAAGAGCCAAAGGCCCCTTGCCTAGCTCCTTCTCTTCCAACTATATTGAGCTAGCTGTCTGTCCTAACACGTTCTCTCGAAGGTTTGGAAAGTCAGCCTTTGATAGACTTCCAGTTTCCTGTGGCCTATGTCTAGGCTGATTTCATACTGAGCTTCCTGAGAGGTTAGGGATGTCTAATATTATACTCTTCCTTTAATAAAATAACTCTTCTGGTCATTTATCCTAACAAGGGAACCAGGAGAAGGGCTGAGTTTGGGAAGAGAGACTGTCTGCATTTTAGCTGTGCCTGGGGCATTCTAATGAGCTGGGATGCATCCTTAGCAGGAAAAGGATGTTGAAATCAGTTGATTTACTCTGGGCAAGTTAGTAAACCTCTGAGCCCATTTCCATCTTCATTACTGATTATTATAAATGATAGCTAATAATTTATTAAGTGCTTAATATATAGCAGGCACTATGTCGAGCGTTTATTTGCACAATTTCACTTAATCTTCCAACCTATGATACTCGTTTTACAGACGAGGAAATTGAAGCTCAAGGAGGATAAATAACTTGTACAAGGCTAAAAGAAGCAGCCATCAGACTTGATAGTCCTGCTTTTCACCCGTACCTCTCACCACCACAAGTACTTTGAAACAGAAAAGCATTTGTGTTTGTGTGAGAGATTCATACATGGTGACAAACCTTATCCAGGTTTACTCAAGACAGAGAAATTTCCTGTGCCCAAACCAGGAGAGTTCCAGGCAAACCGAGATGCATTTGTCAAATTATTTGCATTGAGACTCGTGGTCCAGACCTGGTCCTCACCTGGTGGCTAGAGTTCCTTTATCTTATCCTTTATTTGAGGACTTGCTGCAGGTTCAGCAGGCAGGGGCGTAGTTTGGCGCAGGGAGTCCGGGATTCAGATGGCATCTGAATGATAAATGGAGCCACAGAGCCTGGGTCACTATCTGAAAGCCAGCAGTCCTTTCCTGGGCAGCCACACCCTCCACCCCCAGATGCGGGGGTATCTACTTGGGAGCCACGGAATTACAGTAAAGCTCGTGGAGCTAAAGCCAAATCCTGCATTCAAATCCTAGCTCATCACTTGGTGTGTATTTTTCTAGGCCTGTTCACTCCTAAAAGTAGGCTAATAATCCTCGTCCACTCAGCAGGATCTGAGAAACAAATGAAATGGATATGAAACACCTAACACGAGGTCTACATATAATACTGCTCAAACGCTTAAGTTTCCTTCCTCCTTTCTTCCGGCTTGTGTTTCTCCCCCAAGTCCTGTCCACCTGTCACGTCTGTCACATACATAGAGCCTCCTCCCTCCTCCGGTTACCGCTTGCAGCCCTAGGGATCTTCTTTTGAGAGCCCTGACCTAGTGGCCTCGGCCCCCCCACCCAGCTGCCCCGCCTTTCAGTCACCTCCCCTGCAAGCAGAGAAGGGATGACGTCAACCCTCCGCCCTCCCCCCAGCTGAAGCCTCTGAGCTGTTTTGAGCCATAAATATTTGAGCTGGGCCTTCCTCTGGCTGTTGCCAGGGTGAGGGGCTCTCAGGGGACCGGGGTGGGAGTGTGGGGCTGGCAGCCTGGGGCCTAGCAACAGAGCGGGCTCTCGAGGGGCGGTTATGAAGTCTGGCCAAGAGCTGGTGCTCGTTGCAGCAGGTTCTGAAGGCTGTTGCTCTGTCTGCCTGCCTTCCCTTTCCCGGCCCCCTCAGAGTCGATCCCGCTGCTTCCAGGCCCAGCTCTGCCCTGGAGTGCTACGTGATCTTGGGTAAATTGCTAAGTGTCTCTGGGCCTTCGTTTGAACATCCGTATCAGAAAAGTCCCTGTTTAACTCAGCGCCAGAAGACAAAGCAAAGGAGGTTTTACAAAAATCCTATGAAATACTAGGTTAGTTATGACTGGAGGAGCCAGGCCGCATAACCCTTTCTGTTAGACCTATCGGCTGGAGTCCCAGGGCAATGTGGATGCCACTCCAAAGATGGACTGTCAGATAGGGCCCTGCCTCTCCCGTCCCATTCCTCAGGCTGCAGCACTGGCTACTTTTCTACAGTTCCCAGGTCTAGCTGGACTACCTGGCCGGGCACAGGGTGTTCTAGCAAGGAGTTGGGCCCAGTGACGTATGAGCAGAGTTGATGAAGGCCTTTTTGGCTTGAGATACAGAAACTCAGACCCACCCCCCATCCCCAGATTAGATCTGGCCCTCATCCTCTACCCCCTGTCTAGAGATCTTACATCTTAGATCTAACCGCTAGGTTGTGGCAGCATGCCTCACCCCTCCTTGGGATGGGTCTAATAAAGAAAAGAGAGCCAGAGAGGGGGGCACCTGGGTCCATGCCCCATTCATACCATTAAGACTCTGGATCGGGTCCAGGATTCCATATCCCCTGTCCAACCGGGCCCACCACAATTGTCCTGTTGAGCTCGGAGCTGTGATTCCTTTGTGCCAAGCTCCCTCTGGTGGTTGAGATGTGCACTGAAGGAAAATAAGATCTCAAAAGTGAGACTAAATTGCAGGCCATTCTGAGGTGGGATGGCTGGCTTTATACCAAGGAGAGAAGAATCCTTGTCCCCAGCTCCTAATGACAATCATTCCATTTCTTTTTGTTTTGTTTTGTTTTGAGAGAGAGTGGGGGGTGGGGGCAGAGGGAGAGGGAAAGAGAGAGTCCCAAACAGGCTCCACGCCCAAAGCAGTACCCAACTCGGTACTTGATCTCACAACCCTGAGATCACGCCCTGAGGGTCAAGAGTCAGACGCTTAACTGACTGAGCCACACAGGTGCCCCTCATTCCATTTCTTACATAAGCTATCTCTCCCACCTGTTTGCTTTTGTCATTAATCACAACAATTCAATGACAGGAATCATCCCCATTCTACTGAGGAAACAGACTTAGAAAAGTATAATCAAGTCCAAACTCTTCACTGTATGTAGCATTCAAGAACTTAACCTATTTTTTCAACCCCATCTTCAATTACTCTCAAGCTGAAATGGACTTGCTCTTCTAGAACATAGCTTGCCTCTGGGCCTTTGCTCATGCTGTTCTCTGTATCTTCATTGCCCATTCCATCCTCACCCACGTACATTACCTACCCAAATCCTGTTCGCTTTTGAACACCTAAACAAGAAATACAGTATTTTCTAAAGCTTGCACTTATTATCTTTGTAATAATCAAATACTATAAGACATGGGAAGACAAATGTCCGGGTAAGTACAGGTGGGTGGGTGGCTCTGAGATGGAGAAAGTTAGACGGGGAGACTAACATATACGTGGAAGTAAGAATGGCTCAGGAAATTAGAAAAACATGAAGACACATGGATTCTCTTTTGGCACTTGTAATAAAAATCAGGTGTAAGTATTCTTGCTGTCAGAAGAAAGAGCCAACCCCTGCAAAGCTGGAACAGAGCTATGATGACATTCCTTCAAAGTCTTCAATCTTAAATTCACATTAGTTTTCTTTGTACTTCATGATAGATCTGTGTTATAACGATAGTAAGTAAAACTTAAATAGCACTTACTGTGCACCAGGCACTGTTCTTTTTTTTTTTAAGATTTTATTTATTTATTTAACAAAGAGAAGAGACCACAAGTAGGCAGAGAGGCAGGCAGAGGGAGAGGGAGAAGCAGGCTCTCCACTGAGCAGGGAGCCCGACGTGGGGCTCGATCCCAGGACCCCAGGATCACGACCTGAGCCGAAGGCAGGCACTCAACCGACTGAGCCACCCAGGCGCCCCTTCACCAGGCATTGTTCTAAGTACTTTCCACAGACTAATCTTCACCATAATCTCCTAAGACAGGTACTAATACTACCCTACTAATACTAATACAGGTACTAATACTAATTGACACTGAGAAAACTGAGGCACAGGGAAGTTAAGGAACTCCTTAAGGTCATGAAGCTTGTAAGTGGTGGAGCCAGGATTTGATTCTAAGACTGGCGCAGAGAAGGTGCTCTGAATAACGACACCTAAATATTGAAAATATTGCCTCACGTTTTCATGAATAAAACTGACACTCCAGAAAGTAGTATGTGTTTTATCCTGTGGTTTCAGCACCCCCACTGGGTGCCACTAGAGGTCTGCAGAATCCAGGTAGAAAACTACTGATCCAGAGGACAGAATTGCCAGCCATGGCCCCAGAATAACGTGACCAAGGAAGAGATCCCAAATCTTGACACCCAATGACACAGGGCTGGCCCAGAGCCAGTGGCATTTCCTCAAAAATCCAGACTCCTGGAAGAACCAATAGAGAGCAAGTTAATTAGGAAATGAAGATGCAAAGAAAGGAAGTGAGGGCTTCAGGGTCGCAAAACATGTGGCCACAGATCTGGAAAACAAGAACCTAACCAACAGCCTGCCATCTTCTGATTCTCTTCCCCAGGGATCCTGTAGAAGGCGGATGTGAAAAGACTAGGACCCTGGATACTACTGCTGGTTACTGGGACAGAAGTGTACATCGTTCTGGATTATTTCAGCTGCAGTTGTCAGATACCAAACACGAACTGGCTTTTGTAATAGAAAAAGTCCAGGAGTACCTGGGTGGCTCGGTCAGTTAAGCGTCCCACTCTTGATTTCAGTTCAGGTCACGGTCTCTGGGTCATGGGATTGAGCCCAGTGTTGGCTCCACGCTCAGCTGTGAGGCCGCTTCGGATTCTCTCTCTCCCTCTCCCTCTGCTCCTCCCCTCCCCTGCAAAAATAAGTAAATAAATTTTTTTTCAAGTCCACAAGGATTCAGGTATCGCTGGATCCAGGGGTTCAAATGATGCTATCAAGACTGTGTCTACTGATTTTTTCACTTTTCTGTATTTCCTTCGTTGTCTAAATTCTACCTCCTTAAAAGATGGCAACATAAGCACCACAAAGCTCCAAGTTTATATCTCGCTAGCTTAGCCATCCCAGAGGGGAGGAAATTATTTCCCAATTGTTCCAGCAAAGGTCCTAGGATTGCATTGCATCTCATTTGGCCTGGCTAGAGTCACTAATCCCTCCCCCTCCCCAAAACCAGTCACTGCGGCCTGAAGTGGCAGGGATGGAATGCTTTGATTCGCCAGGCCAGGGTTATCTGCCCACACTGGAACTGCAGAGTAAGGCAGCCCCACCAGACCACATGGACGGAGAGCGTGGGAGGAAGGGTAGTTCCCCAAGGGAAAATCAAAGTGTTCTAACCAGAAGGAAGAATGGATGTTGGGCAGGCAAAATCAACCTGTTCAAGGTGGGCAGGAGCCCCAGATAATGAGTTACATGCACAGCAGCCCATCTGAGTGGCTTTACCCTCTTACACTGGGGCACTGGGTTGTATGAATGCCCTCAAATCAATTAAGCAAACATTTCCTGAGTATCTGCCATGTACAAGGTCCAGCACCCTTCCACATAATAGATGGACAGCAAGACACGCCCCTGCCACCAGCCCCCATAAGGGAATTTACCAGCCCCAAGCTATCGCTTCCTCCCATAGGAGCATGACAGGCCAACTCTTTTTCCTCTCTCAGAAACCAGCTCTGATGTCATCTTCCATGAAGCCTTCTCTGGACTACCTCCCCTGTCGGAGTTAGTCACCCTCCGTCCACCTCTAGACTTGGTACAACACACTGTGTCATCATTTATTGGTTCTCCTCTCTGTCTCTCCCAATGATGAGTGGCACCTCGGAATCCGCAGTGCCCGCTATATAATAGATGCTCAAAAATGTTTGTTAACCTGAGTTAAAATGAGTTCCCAGGAATGGCCCAGCTTCAATCTTTTATGGACTATTCCCGAAACCATTTAGCTTTCCTTCCCAATTGAGTTTCCTTTTAAGAGCTAGTTTGCCACTACCTGAATTCAACTGAACTAATACACATTTGAATGCCTATCACATGCCAGATAGTGTTGGGCTTCGGCAATTCAGAAATTAACAAGATACCTTTCAAACTCAGCAGTCTAAAGAGGTCAGAGCCAGCTCTTCTACCAGAATTTCTTTGGCTGGAAAAAGAAATCTCAGCCCTGGTTTCTATGTTACATTGTGAGCTGGTCATTCTCCCTCTCTGGGCCTCTATTCCTCCAGAAGGGAAGGCCTAACTTGGTATAAAATCTATAATTTCATAGATGTATATGTGTTGAATTAAACTTCACATTTCCATTTGCCTAGGCTACAAACCTTGGAGTAATACTCAATCTCGTCTTTCTTCCACACACCTATCCAATCTGTCCACAAATCCTATTGACTTTACCTTCAAATCCAGAATCCAACACATCTCCCTCACTCAATCTGGTACAATCCATCAACATCTCTTGCTAAAATCATTGCCATATCCTCTGTCTGGTCTCCTTGCTTCTACCCTTGTGCCTCTACAGTCTATTCTTACACAGCAGCCAGAGTGATTCTTTAAAAATGAAAGTTCATGGGGCGCCTGGGTGGCTCAGTCGTTAAGCGTCTGCCTTCGGCTCAGGTCATGATCCCGGGGTCCTGGGATCGAGCCCCACATCGGGCTCCCTGCTCCGCGGGAAGCCTGCTTCTCCCTCTCCCACTCCCCCTGCTTGTGTTCCCTCTCTCGCTGTGTCCTTCTCTGTCAAACAAATAAAATCTTTAAAAAAATAAAATTAATTTAAAAATAAAATAAAAATGAAAGTTCAGGGCTCCTGGGTGGCTCAGTTAAGCATCTGCCTTCGGCTAGGTCATAATCCCAGGGTCCTGGGATCGAGTCCCATGACAGGCTCCCAGCTCCACAGGGAGTTGGCTTCTCCTCCGTCCCTCCCTCCACTGGTTCTCTCAGTCTTTCTCGTTCTCTCACTCTCTCCCAAATAAATAAATAAAATCTTAAAAAAAAAAAGTTCAAACCCTCCAATAGTTCCCCATCTCATTCAGAGTAATGAGGAACTCTATATGGTCCACCCCTTCTCATGTCCCACTCTCATGTCTATTCCAGCCAAGCTACACTGACCTCCTTGCTGTTTCTTAAACACACTAGCCGTGTTCATACCTGATGGCCCTTCCACTGATTTTTTCCCTCTGCCTGGAATACCCCTTTTCTCTGGATAGCTGTATGACTGACTCACTCATTTCCTTCAAGTGTTTGGACAAAAGTCACCTTCTCAGAGAAGCCTACTCTGACTGTCCTGTTTAAAATTGCAAACTCCCATCCCCCTTTCCTGTTTACCTCCACAACAATCACTCCCTTCTAACATGCTACAGAATTTACTAATTTTATGTCCATCTCCTCCCACTTGACTGTAAGCTCTGTATCTATTAATTAAATATCTGCTAATTCATTCAATTAATTGAATACTGATGTCTATTATGTGCCAAGCACTGCGCTAAGCCATGGAGCTACCAGGTGATTAAGACAGTTTATAAGTCTTGTGAGGGAAGAAGTCCTAACCGTTCGTAGTAGTAGCTCATTTACTGAGTGCTTCCTCTGTGTTAAGTACTTGCCATGCAACCTAATAATAATGATGGCTAACATTTGTTAAAACAGACCCTGTTCTACATGCGTTATCTCATTCAATCCTCACCAAGACCTTTAAGGTGAATATTACCAGCCTCGTTGTAAAGAGCAAGAAACAAGATTTCAAGGCTCAGAAGGAGCAGAAGCTGGATTTGAACTAAGGGGATGGCAGAAGAAAGATTTAGGACCTAGGGTCCACCAAACTAGGTGAAAGATCGGTTGTGGGGGGGTCGAGGGAAAGAAGGAAATGACTCCCAGGTTTTGACCAGGGTGGACCAAAGAAAAATAAGGCCGAAGACAAAGACGAAAGCCCAATTTGGGACGCGTTGAGTTTGAGGCGCCTGCGGGTGGACTCCTGGATACAGTCCACCTCCGGCAGGAGCCGAGAGGCGGTTCCGGCCCCTTCCCTCGGGACTAAAGAGATGCTGGGAGAAGGCACGCACGGGAAGAGCAGGAGGTGACGGAAGTCACCCTCTGGGGTCTCGGAGCAGCAGCTGCAGGAAGGGCGTAGGGGACCGCGAGACAAAGAGCGCGCAGCCACCGCCTTTGTCCGCGCGGCCCCTTTAAGAAGCGCGCCCCCAGCTTCCAGCCCGCCTTGTATGCAAATTTGGCGACCAGCGGGAGCGCGCGGCTGATACCCGGGGACTGGGCTGCGGCGGTTAGTCCTCTCCCGGCCGCCGTCGTCTCCGACATATTGCCCGCAGGAGCTGCGGCGGCGGAGCGGAGAGCGCCGGGGGGAGGAGATGGGTGAGCGGAGCGGCTCCGGCTCGGCAGGGGAACCGGCGGGCGTGGGGGTCGGGATGGCCAAGATGCTGACTGCTCCCCCGCGCGGACAGGATCCCAGCGAGGCAAGGGGGAGGGGATGCGGGGCACAGAGGGACCCCGCCCCCTCCTGTCGCCTTGCGGGGTGGGGCCTCGCTGTGGGGGCGGGGCATTGGCGCGGGGGGCGGGACTTCTAACATGGAGAGGGCCTGTGGGGGCATGGGCTTTGGTGGGGACCCGCTCACCTGGGCTAGAAGTGGGGACGGGGCTCAGCGGTGGGCGGGGCCTTGGTGCTGGGGTGGAGCTCGTGGGCTGTTGGCGCTGGTGCGGGGGCGAACTTTCTGGGCTGTAGCGGCTTGGCACTGGGGTGATGGGGCGGGAAAGAGACCTTCCAGACCACGGGAGCCCATTCTGGAGCGGGGCTTCTGGGCAGAGAGAGCTTTTATTGGCTTGTGGGCGGGTTTTCTGGGCTGACAACAGTGTGTAGGCGGGGCCTTCTGGGCCCAGGGGCTTTATGTGGGTGTAGAGCTTCTAAAGAGAGGAGAGTAGGTGTGGGCAGAGCTTTTGGACCGAGGGTGCATGTGTGAGATGTTTAAGCCAGGTATAATAGGGTATAATAGTATATGAACAGGGCTTCTGGGTTGGGGGCTGGTTGGGTGCAGAACTCCTGGACAAGTACTATTTGGAGACATGTGGGAAAAGCTTCTGAGCTGGGAAGCTAGGGCAAGGGGTGGGGGTGTGTGTGTGTGTAGGCTGTGTTGCTATGAGGAGGTTTGAACAAAGCTGTAACTTTGATTAGGCCTTGGGTGGTGCTTCGGAGCTTTGTGTAGGCCCTTTGTGCAGGATGGTGCCTGGGAGCTTGGGCTAGACTGCTAAGCCTAGAGAAATAGGTTTTGGGTCCACAACCACAGCATTCTCCCAGAGCCCACATCCTTGACCCTATGCTCAGGCTGTGGTCCTGACCATGAGACGCCAGGCTTTCAGCCTCTGGTCCTGACCAACCATGAGACACCTATTGAGCTGGATCTTGGACTCTGGAGGAAAAGGCTTCAAGGGTGCCCAGAATCCTAAGCCTAGAGAGACTTGTAGTATCCGAACAAAGCAGTGTACACCAGAGCTAAGAGCTCAAGCCTCAGACCCCAAACTACCTGTGACACAGTGTAAACTCAGTTTCCTAATCTGTGGAAGACCTACTTTGCTGGGTTCATTCACTCATCAACATACGCTCATACAACATACACAACATACACAAAGTAAGGGCACTTACTTTATGCTGGACACTGTGATGGAAGGAGGGGATACAGCAGTAGAAAAGACAGATAAGGGTAATGACCTCATTGACCTTCTGGTCTTGTGAGAAAGACAGACAATAAATGTGTTCACAAATGAATAAGATAATTCCAAGAGTGAATTGTTGTGGGAAAAAAATAGAAATGAGAGAGTTATGGGGGCAGGTACTTTAAAAGTGGCAGTCAGGGAAGGGCTTTGTGGATAGGATATAGCAAGTACAACGGGTAGCAACAGGTTTGGTTTGCTTAAGGAGAGAAAGGACAGGATGGCTGAAGCATGAAGGCCAGGCAGAGAATGGTAGGAGATGAGGCTGAAGAGGCAGGCAGGGGCCAGATCAGAGGTCTCTGTGATTAATGATGGAATGAGGCACCAGGTAATCAGTAGCCAGTATTGCTATTATCCTTGATCTGTGCCCTCTAGCTTGAGGCTCTACCTTATGTTGAGTCCCGCAGGAGGACGAAGAGGTCCCAACAGGACATCCTACTGTCGAAATCCTCTGTGTGAGCCAGGATCCTCAGGGGGCTCTGGTGGGGGCCATACTTCCAGTGCATCGGTCACCAGTGTCCGTTCTCGCACCAGGTAAACCACCTCTGTCTCTTTCCCCTCACTATGGGCTCCCAGGGGCAATACGAACAAAGCTCTCCTTCACTGGGCTTGGGCTCTAGGATTTGATACTCCAGATGTCAGATGGGGGTTTGAGTACAGCGAGCAGCAAAAAAAAAAAAAAAGACTCAGAAGTGGTGGTCACTTGGGCAGATGCAGTGGGATATAGGGTAATAAGCCCAAAGGCCTGGATTCCAGTTACAGTCCTGCTCCTGGTTTTCCGGTGGCTTGAACGAGTTGTTTCTCCTCTCTGGGCCTCCGTGTCCTCATCTGTCAAATGGATCTAATAATTCTTTCCTTCCTGGAGAATGTTGGAAAGCCTGAATAAGATTAGGGATAGGAAAAGACTCTGTTGGCTCCTTTGTCTGACGGGCAGGATTAGGAGGACTCCCATCCTTGCCATGAGCTGCTTTGCTGATCCATCCCCACCACCCTGTGTCCTGGAAGCCCTTCTTGGTGGGGTTCTCAGGTCAGCTGCTGATGTTTTTCCCTGCCCACCTCCCAGGAGCAGTTCTGGGACGGGCCTCTCCAGCCCGCCCCTGGCCACCCAGACGGTTGTGCCCCTCCAGCACTGCAAGATCCCCGAGCTGCCAGTCCAGGCCAGCATCCTGTTTGAGTTGCAGCTCTTCTTCTGCCAGCTCATAGCCCTCTTCGTTCACTACATCAACATCTACAAGACAGTGTGGTGGTATCCGCCCTCCCACCCACCCTCCCACACCTCCCTGGTAGGTTCCCAGCTAGGACCAGCTGTGTGTGTGTGTGTGTGTGTGTGTGTGTGTGTGTGTGTGTGTGTGTGTGACATTTGGTTTCAGTTTAACACAGCTTACCAAGCACCCTGGACACTTGGCCTCACGCTGGAAATGGAGAGTGTAGAAGGAATAGGAAGCAAATGATTCCTGAACGCTCACGCCTGGTTGCTCAGTACCGTGTTAGGCATTTGAAAGGTAGCAGAGAGAAATCTGACAGATGTTGCCTAAAAGAGCGCAGAATCTTAAGTCCTGTCGGGGAGAAGAGCCACGGGCATACATGAGTTTCAGAAGTGGAAAGATCTCCATGCCGAGAAAGAGGTGCAGGGACAGGGGCACGGGTGATCATAGCAAGAGGGCTCACACACCACTCTGTTATCTCCTGGGACTGTCCCACTTCCCTCCTCTCGGTCCTGTTCTGCTCCTCTAGGTAATTTCCTGGCCTGATTCAGCTGGAGGCCTGTGAAGGTCAGAGTGGGGACAGTCCCTGTGGAAAGGACTTGGCAGGGGGAGGTGGGGATGAAAAAAGCCCATACATGGGCAGGGGGCCCATGTGACCCCCAGCCTCTGCCCACCCCCAACAGAATTTCCACCTGATCGACTTCAACTTGCTGATGGTGACCACCATCGTTCTGGGCCGCCGCTTCATTGGGTCCATCGTGAAGGAGGTGATTGGGTCCCAGAGGCTGGCCGGGGACTTTGGGACTCCCCTTTCCCCTGGGGGTACCAAGAAAACATCCCAGGCCCTTCAAGCCTAAGGCAGTTCCTTGGGGCTCCCTTTGAACTTGGTTGGAGAACATTACATCCCATCACTCTTGGAGTTTATGGGGCATCGAGGAAAAGGATTCACCTTGCCAGGTTCACCAGCCCAGCCTGCTGCCCCACGTTTCCCTGGGTGGGATCACAGGCCATGCTGGGTGGGATGTGGGCACAGCCCCGGTGGCCTCCATCCAAGGCCCCATCCTGTCCTATCTCGCCCCGACCCAGGCTTCTCAGAGGGGGAAGGTCTCCCTCTTTCGCTCCGTCCTGCTGTTCCTCACCCGCTTCACCGTTCTCACGGCAACAGGCTGGAGTCTGTGCCGCTCCCTCATCCACCTCTTCAGGACCTACTCCTTCCTGAACCTCCTGTTCCTCTGCTATCCGTGAGTACCCCTCACTTCACCCCCTCACTGCCTAGCACCCAGCTCCTGACCTCTGCCCTGAGTGTGGCTGGGTCAGCAGGCCCCCGTACCTGGAAGACTCAGGGAAGGGCAGCAGCAATATCCTCCCACGTTGTCTGACAGCATCCCCCTGAGAACAAGAGGATTAGCTTTCTTTTGCAGGAGCCGAAACTGAGAGAGCAGGCATCATTTACCCTAGGTGCCACCAATGGGGAGGTCAGAATGGGACTCAGATCTGAGCGTATATGCCAAAGGAATGTTCCTGATGGGGATGCATGGGCTTTGTCTCCCTCTCCTTTACTTTTCTCTCTGGTTCTTTCTCTTTCTCTTTTTTTGTATCTCAGTGTTTATGTAATCTCTCGGTGCCTCTCCCAGGTCTGTGTGCATGCAAGCACCTGCGTGTGTGAATGTTTCTGTGTGGGTGTCTGTGCGTGAAATGGGGGGGAGGTGTACCTGCACGTGCCATGTGTGTATGTCAGTCTTCGTGTCTGTTTGCTCACTCACTCCATCTCACCAGAGCCCAGATTGTTGAGGATGGGAAGATCCTGTCTGGGAGGAGCCCAGGACTGCCCCCTTCTCGCCTAGAACGGGGGAGAACTTTGGCAAGACATCCATTCTGGCTGTTCCTCGTGCAGGCTCCTGGCTCCCTGGGCATTTACAGTCATTTCCCAACCCCGGAGCTTTCTGGTTCATGAATTTCCTCAGGCTGGGCCAGTTCTCTGTCCTGGGAAGCTTCAGAGCCAGATACTCATCCCTCTCTACCCTGCATGACCAAAAGGGCGCTGTCATGGGAGGAGACCCATCACACTTGTTTCAATTATAACTAGTTTTTAATTGTAAGAGTGACACGTGTCTTATAAACACATTGAACTTTACAGAAGCTTTTAATGTAGAAAATGAAAGTCCTCTTTAATATCAGTCCTCCAGAAAACCATTATTTGCAGCATATCCTCCCAAATTTTTTCTGTTCAAACATACTCACATATACTTTTTTTTTTTAACAAAAAGGGATTAATCTATGCATGATGCTGTACAATTTACTACATTTTTCGCATAATCCTATAACTTGGGTATTTTTCCATGGCAATACATACAGGACTGCCTCATTTTTTAACGGCCTCATAGTATTCCATTATATAGATTTTTCACAGTTGTATTTGTCTTCTATTTTCGCCTTTTGAGGTGTTCTGGCTTTTCCCTATTGGAGACAATGAGGTAGGGAACCTTCTTTTGCGTACATCTTTGCCCACTTGTCCAATAGTTCCGTACAACAGATTCCCAGAAGTAGAATTACTGTGCCGAAAGGTGCAGTCCATAGATATTAAAAAATGGCCGTTCAGGGGTTGTACTGGCTAGAACCATCAACAGTTGCCTTAATTTTTTCACCTTGTGGTTACTATCCAGTGAATCCATTCTCCTCGGATACAGGTATCACCCAGTAGTCATATTTTGCTTTATTTTTTTATTATTTCATTTATAAATTTTTATTAACATAAGGCAGGCATATCCTAACAAATCAATCCAGGAGTGCTAAAAAGCTTATGATGAAAAGCAGCCTCCAACCCCACTTTTCAGCTTTTTAGTCCCACTCCTCCAAAGTGATCTCCT